TTTTTTGGTTGCAGCCGTCATTGTTTGGCGGGTCCAGGCTGGGGATTCGAACCCGCCACCTTAGGTGTACGTGGCTGGCGCTTAGCCGGTTGAGCTATAGGCGCCGAGCCAAGACCATAGGCATTTGAACCTAAAAGTTGTCATTTTAAAAATTATATGCAGTTAAGTATTTAAAACTGTTTATTATATTTAAAAAAAATCAGAGCATTAATTTTTCCTATAGCCAAAAAATGAAGAAGAGAAAATTTCAAACCAGCATTTTTGTTTCTACAAAATATTTTGATACACATATAAATATAATTATTTGAGGCTGGGTGTGGTGGCTCACACCTGTAATCCCAGCAGTTGGGAGGTTGAGGCAGGTGGATTGCCTGAGTTTATGAGTTCAAGACCAGCCTAAGCAAGAGTGAGATGCCATCTCTAAAAAACAGCCGGGCATTGTGGTAGTTGCCTATCGTTCCAGCCACTTGGGAGACTGAGGTGAGAGAATTGCTTGAGCCCAAAAGTCTAAGGTTGCTGTGAGCTATGATGCCATAGCACTCTACCAAGACTGACCAACTGAGTCTGTCTCAAAAAATAAATAAATACATCTAATATTTGATAACTCCTAGAATTTCCTTTTTTTATATAATGAGTCCTGTGTTTTTGGAATAAATACACCTTTTACAAATTCATCTTCTTTAATATTTTTACATGTGCGCAGAGTTTCATTTTTTAAGATTAAAATTTCCAACTTTATATTTCCTTTTTTCATCTAAAATCTCCAAAATATGCTTTTACTAGAATACTACAAAAAACCAAGTGCCCAAATTAAAGTTACTTTTGTTTTACGCAAAGTTTAGTTCTTAGACGCTGTATGAAAAGGGGCACTCCAGCTAGGACATGAAGCTGTGAGTTAGAGATCAGAGAAGGAGACTAAAGAAATAAAGGAACTGTTGAGGGAAGTCTAGGGGTTGTTTAGAGAGACTGCACAGTCAGTCTCTGCCCAGCTGGAGAGAAGGTACAGCATGAACAGGAACAGCCCAGCCCTGAGAAGAGAGGAGCAGCAGGGTGGCTGTGACAGGGCCAGGGAGCTCTGAGGCTATTCTCCCTCAGTTTCACAAAGATTACTCTCTATGGTGAACCAACCAGCTAAGCTGAAGACTTGCACAAACTACACTGACAGCAGCCCACTGTGGAGTAGGGCTCTAACCTCAGTCACCGTCTGCCTAAGGGTAAGGGCCCTGTGTACTCCTGACAACCTAACCCCAGGGACCTCTTCTTTGTTCAGTAGCACATTCTCCCAAGTCCTCTCTTTCCAGCTGTGAGTCTGATCCTAATTCTCTCTAATAATTCATCACTCAGACAAGAAAGAGATAAGCGCTTCCTGGGCTGTGTGGTCAGCATAGACTGCTTCCCTCTGGGGCTTACCAGCCTGTCTGGTCTGCAGGACACTGCCCTCCATCTTCCACAGACCCTAACACTCATCCCTTATTATTATTTTGTCATCTACATTTTTTTTGGAGACAGAGTCTCATTTTGTTGCCTTCAGTAGAGTGCTGTAGTGTCACAGCTCACAGCAACCTCAAACTCTTGGGCTCAGGCAATCCTCTTACCTCAGCCTCCCAAGTAGGCTGTAGAAATGTAGGCAACTGCTATAATGCCTGGCGTGCACGCGCGCGCTCTCTCTCTCTCTCTCTCTCTCTCTATATATATATATATATATATTTTTTTTTTTTTTTTCCCCACCTACCTCAGGCTGGTTTTGAACTCCTGAACTTAAGCAATCCAGTTGTCTGGACCTCCCAGAGTGCTAAGATTATAGATGTACACTACTGTGCCCAGATCATCTATTATTTTTAGACTAAATCCTAACTGTAGGATTCTAGCTTTGATATACTTTTTGCTGATATAAAAAGTCAGTGTTCTGGGATGGCGCCAGTAGCTCAGTGGGTATGGCGCCAGCCACATACACAGAGGCTGGTGGGGTTGAACTCAACCTGGGCCAGCTAAACAACAATGACAACTGCAACAAAAAAATAGCGGGGCATTGTGGCAGGCACCTGTAGGCTACTTGGGAGGCTGAGGCAAGAGAATCACTTAACTTAAGCCCACCAGTTTGAGGTTGCTGTGAGCTGTGACACCACAGCACTCTACCCAGGGCAACAGCTTGAGGCTCTGTCTCAAAAAAAAAAGTCAGTATTCTTATTTTCAGATTCCCAAATATCTAATGCCTTCCGAATATACTTTTTCCTGTTTCACAGATTTGAATATTTTAAAGATAGATTAAAAGAATCTTCTGTTTTTGGTTTTTAATGTATTTTAGAAAATTTCGAAGAAATATTAAAGTATAAAGAGTTGTGTAATGACTCCCCATGCACACGGCACTCAATTCTGCAATTACCAATTCACACCCAGGGCTTTTCACTGATGCCAGCCCACCCAGATTATTCTCTAGTCAACCCAGCCATTACAATGTTCTATTTGTAGAAATTTTAGTATATAAGCTGCGTGCCCATAGCTCAGTGCTTAGGGTGCTGGCCACATGCACCAGGGCTGGTGGGTTTGAACCCAGCCCGGGCCTGCTAAACAACAACAAAAAATTTTTTAATATATACATGCAAAAGAAAAGGGTGCTGCAATCCTCTTTTAAAAACTAGATCTCTCCAGGTACTGTTCTTTTTTTTTTTTTTAATTGTTTTCTAACAAAGTGTTTTTTTTGTTTGTTTGTTTTTCTAAAGAGACAAGATCTAGGCTCGGCGCCCATAGCACAGTGGTTACGGCACCAGCCACATACACTGAGCCTGGAGGGTTCGAGTCTGGCCTGGGCCAGCTAAACAACAATGACAACTGCCACAAAAAATAGCCAGGCGTTGTGGTGGGTGCCTGTAGTCTCAGCTCCTTGGGAGGCTGAAGCAAGAGAATCATTTAAGCCCAAGAGTTTGAGGTTGCTGTGAACTGTGATGCCACAGCACTCTACCAAGGGCAACATATGGTGAGACTTTGTCTCAAGAAAAAAAGAGAGAGACAGAGAGCCATGGTCTCACTATGTTGTTTAGGGCTGGACTTGGCTCCTGGGCTCAAGTAACCCTCCTGTCTCAGCCTCCCAAGTAGCTGGGAGTACAGGCACCTGCCATAGGGCCTGGCTCTAAGTTAGCATTCCATAAGTTTTCACCCACAAAACGAATGGCAATCCCATGTACATAAAGGAGAATGAACTACAGACCAGGCCATGGAGATCCTAAAGCAGAGCTAACACTTCACAGGGGTGCTACATGGGGTGATTTGTAAGAAACATCTGGCATGTAAACAGCTAAGCACTCAACCAGTGGTATCTATTATTACCACACTAAAACCAACTGTTCATTAATAACATTTTCATTATTACTATTATATCTTTTTTTTTTTCTTTTTTGAGACAGGGTCTCATTTTGTCACGCTTAACAGAATGCTGTGGCATCACAGCTCACAGCAACTTCAAACTCTTGGGCTCAAGCGATCTTGCCTCAGCCTTCTGAGTAGGTGAGACTACAAGGGGCCTGCCCCAACACCCAGCCAGTTTTTTTTTAGGAGATGAGGTTCTTGCTCTGGCTCAGGCTGGTCTGGAACTCCTGAGCTCAAGCAATCCAAGTGCCTCGGCCTTTCAGAGTGCTGGGATCACGCCGGGCCTCAGTAGGTCATTATTTTCATTGTTATTTCCAGTCTTCTCAGTGAAGACACCTGGCCACAAGTCTTAAACATTCTGTTTTCTCCACTCCCCTATGTAAATCAAAGCAAATTTATCAGGTATCCAACAGAGGTGAAGCTTGATCAATACCATTCATTCATCCCCATCCACCTCACCTCCACTGACCACAGTCAAGTGAGTCCAGGTGGAAATTACAGCTAATAAGTCAGAAGAGAGTGGACAGAAAGGCAGAAGACAGCGGTACCTCTGAGATCAGATGAAAGAGTAACGTTCCATCAACACGACCCCTGAATCTACTAGAAACATCTGGGAATGCTTCCGTCGTTAGACTTTTCTGTACTTACTACTTTCTGCTGCCTGTTTAATTCCAGGTTCATCCTCCTGTGACTCTGGTGACAGCCCAATAATATCAAACCTGGAAAATAAGCCAGAATCTTAGAAGAACCACTTGATTCTCAGAAAATCTATTCGTGGGAAGTATGTTTTACTAAATTCATGGTAGTATGGATAAAAAGGGCAGCTAAGTGGAGATATTCTCTAGAACATGAAACTCAAAATAAAATGTCCACATAAGCCAAACTATTAATTTAAATAGGTGACTCTGTCATCCTATATGTACCTTTCACTCTGACTAATACAGAGTCTATGTTAAAAAGTCACAGTGCTGAGCGATGCCTGCAGCTCAGTGAGTAGGGTGCAGGCTTCATATATCGAGGGTGGTAGGTTCAAACCCAGCCCTGGCCAAACTGGAAAAAAAAAAAAAAGCCAGGAGTTGTAGTGGGCGCCTGTAGTCCCAGCTACTTGGGAGGCTGAGACAAGAGAATCGCCTAAGCCCAAGAGCTGGAAGTTGCTGTGAGCTATGACACCATGGAACTCTATGGAGGGTGACAAAATGAAACTCTGTCTCTTAAAAAAAAGAAAAAAAAAAGCTCATTAACAACTGTAATACACAAAAGCACGTCTGATAGAAGACTAAGTATAGGAAGTTCTTATCAAACAAGTAAAATTCTTACTTACCACGAAGGCATAGCCATGTTCATGTTCAATGTAACAGGCATAACTGGCCTACACGAGAAAGAGGAAACAGCACAGTGAGAAGAACAACGCACAGAGACTCATCAATCCCATCACTCAAAACCGCATGCTACAACCTTCACATACGAACTCTGTTCACCATTCCCTCCAAATGTATTCTGAAGACAGAGCAGCAGATGCAAAGAACTAAATGTGATAAAAAAACTTTTTTGCTTTTTGGGGGTTTTTTTGAGACAGAGTTTCACGTTGTCACCCTCAGTAGAGGGCCATGGCATTCTTAGCTCACTGCAACCTCCAAAACTTGGGCTCGAGCTATTTTTAGAGACAAGGTCTTACTCTTGCTCAGGTTGGTCTCAAACCCCTGAGCTCAGGCAATCTACCTGCCTCAGCCTCCCAGAGTGCTAGGATTACAGGTGTGAGCCACCACGCCTGGCCTTAAAAACATTTTTCCTTTAGGATATAAAAGTATAGACTATTTTAGAAAGAGAGAAGAGAAGGACTGAGAGAGCAGAGAGCAGAGAAATGTGTGGTATTCCAAAGAAAGAAAGAACAGCCACAAGTAAAACATTTTCTTTTCTTATTTTTTTATTTTTATTTATTTATTTTTTAGAGTTTCATTATATAGCCCTGGGTAGAGTGCTGGGGCATCACAGCTCACAACAACCTCCAACTCCTGGGCTCAAGCGAGTCTCCTGCCTCAGCCTCCCAAGTAGCTGGGACCACAGGCGCCGGCCACAATGCCTGGCTATTTTTTGGTTGCAGCTGTCATTGTTGTTTGGCAGGCCGGGCTGGGTTTGAACCAGCTACCTTAGGTGTATGTGGCTGGCGCCTTAGCCACTTGAGCCACAGGTCCCATATACTGAGGGTGGTGGGTTTAAACCGGCCCTGGGCAAACTACAACAACAAAAAAATAGCTGGACAATATTAAAAAAAAAAAATAGCTGGACATTATGGTGGGTGTAGTCCCAGCTACTCAGGAGGCTGAGGCAAGAGAATTGCCTAAGCCCAGGAGTTGGAGGTTGCTGTGAGCTATGATGCCACAGCACTCTACGGAGGGTGACAAAGTGAGACTGTCTCTAAAAAAAAAAAAAAATTTCTTTTCTCAACACCTTTACTTAAGAATACTTTTAATGTGAAGGGAAACCAGAAATGAAGGTAATTGGAAATGCACAAAATACGAAACTCTGGAAAGAAACTAAGAACAATGAACAATTTATTGCACAGATACTGCAGCATTAATTCCCATATGCTTAGACTGGAATTCTGCTAATTTTCTAGCTCTCAACTATATACCCATTTGATAAAAAAAGACCTTTAAATAAATAAGGGACTATAAAATGTGCCGAAGTGTCCATTACACCTAAGTCAAATCTGTGATGAAAAATACGCTGGGTAATCTGAATTTCGCGAGGTAAAAAGGCATGAAAACTAAATACACTTTAAGCTTAGACACGACACATCCACCGCTATCCTTCTGATTCATGAAATAAGTCTACCTCAGAGGTTATAAACAGTAACCTCAAGATTTCTTTGGGAATACACACCTCCCTAAGATGGCAAATAGCCTTTAATCTTAGGACAAATAACAATATAGCAGAAATTCAACATAATCAAGAATTCTGTCTCATCATACTGGATGATGACTCAGCAACCCTGGCCACAGTATTCAGTTGTAGCCTACAGAGATTAGGACAGACACTCTGTTTTTGGATAAAAAGAAAGAAGAATGTAATCTTCACCAATATTTACCTCCTCCTGTTTCCTCTCTCACACTCATGTGTCTATCCCAACACTAATGCTAGTATCACCTCTGAGGACCAATATTAACCTACTAGCCTGTATCTAGTCCCTGTCTTCTCCATGACTACCACTTCTCAGAAACATTTGAACAAAATTTGCTGATTTTGGCTCAGCATCTGTGGCTCAAGAGGCTAAGGCGCCAGCCACATAAACCTGAGCTGGCAGGTTAGAATCCAGTCTGGGCTCCCAAACAATGATGGCTGCAACCAAAAAAAATAGCCGGGCATTGTGGCGGGTGCCTGCAGTCCCAGCTACTTGGGAGGTAGAGGCAGGAGACTCATTAGAGCCCAGGAGCTGGAGGTTGCTGTGAGCTGTGATGCCACAGCACTCTACCCAGGGCCTCAGCTTGAGGCTCTGTTTAAAAAAAAAAAATTTGCTAATTTTAATGATTTGCTGATTTTGCTCAAAACTTCCTTCCTTCCTTCCCTTCTCTCTCGTTTTTTTTTTTTTTTTTTAAAACAAATTCTCACTTGTCACCCTGGGTAGAGTACCACTGTATCATAGCTCACAACAACATCAAACTCCTGGGCTCAAGTGATCCTCTTGCCTCACTACAGGTGGCTGCCACAATGCTTGGCTAGAGACAGGGTCTTACTGTTGCTCCAGCTGGTCTCAAACTAAGAGCTCAAGCAATCCCTGGCCCCCTCCCAAGCCTCCCAAAGTGCTAGGATTACAGGTGTGAGCCACTGAGCTATCTTGCTTTTTTTTTTCAGACAATGTTTCACCTTGTTGCCCAGCACTATAGTACAGTGGCATCATCACAGCTCCCTATAACCTCAAATTCATGGGCTAAGCAATTTTCCTACCTAGCCTTTGGAGTGGCTGGGACTCCAGGCACACAACACAATGCCTGGGTAACTTTTTTTTATTTTTTGTAGAGACAGGATCTTGCTCTTACTCAGGCTGGTCTCAAACTCCTAAGCTTAAGTGAACCTCCCGCCTCAGCCTCCCAGAGGGCTAGGATTCTAGGAGTGAGCCATTATGCCTGGCCAATAGTTTGTTTTTACTACACAAATATGTAAGTGAACCTCTGTAACCTGACCACCCAAAGGACTGTGAGAAATTGCACAAAATAAGGTACTAGGTAGGCTTCTGTATTGATACATGCCTGTCACACAAGTCTGGGCTGTGAAAATCAGGTCAACTTAAGGAGAGGGTCAGCTATGGATATTCTATTGTATTTTCAGAGCTAGAATTCAAAACCAAATCTATCAGACTTCAAGATAGAAGGGGATCTTTCCACAGTACCTCACATTGCCTCTAACTGATTACAAGTGTTTTCAACATAACAAAAATTTCTTTGACTGGTAAGTTCCCTCCAGAGATACCCACAGGTACCCTTTGAACGTCACAGATATTTGTATATCCAAAATAATTTTCCTGGCTTTAAGTTCAATTTACCTCTAAGAGAGCAATATTTTAAACTTCTCAACAAAAAAGAAAAAGAAAATTCAATTTAACCAAGAGATCATTTTACTTTTCAGAAATTCTATTAATCTTTATTTTTAAACTGAATATTTAAGAGATAAAAATTAATTATATTCCAGTGCTTTCTGTAAGGATAAAGCGGTCACAATTGTTTCCCTCTAGACTCTGAATCACAAGCTTGAAGATCAGAGATACTCACGCATGCGGGCAGATATATTTGATATGTGAGCTTCTGATACCGCCTAAGGCTTCTGCCCATCCATGCCTGGTGGAAAAATTATTTGAATAATGCTATTAGATACTATTTTTAAATCTAAATAAATTAGTAGCACAATAGTACTTTCAAAATGTAAGCTAAATGTTAAATGCTTAAGGTATCTTAAAGTACAAACTGATCAGAACATCACCACGTGTCTAGAAACCATTCAGTAGCTGTTATTTAAGTTTTACCTTGGAATAAAGATGCTTTCTACAATTTCTGAACATCAGTGTGTGCTCCTTCATAGATCTCCACAGAGCTTTACAATTTCCAAGACAGATTTCTTTCTTTCTTTCTTTCTTTTTTTTGAGACAGAGTCTCAGTATGTCACCCTCAGTAGAGTGCCGTGGCCTCATAGGTCACAGCAACCTCAAACTGTCGGGCTTAAGGGATTCTCTTGCCTCAGCCTCCAGAGTAGCTGGAGCTACAGGCGCCCATGACAATCCCCAGCTTTTTTTTTGTTGTAATTGTCACTGTTGTTTGGCAGGCCTGGGCCACGTTCGAACCCACCAGCCCTGGTGTATGTGGCCGGCATCCTAACTGCTGAGCTACGGGCACCGAGGCAAGATAGATATTTTGTAATCGCTGTATAAATCTACTACAGTGTGCTTATAAAGAGCAAAACAGATGATTTATACAAAGAAAAATAAACACAAATGAATAAAGTATATCAGTAATCTAGTATCTCTACATACTTATGACACTATTAAAAATAGTGGCACTATCAGCGCTACTGTTAGTGCTAATAGTACTAACAGCACTATCAGTGCTCCCCAAACTGATGTACAGTGCCTAGACAGTCTTTATCAGAATCCCAGCTGACTCTGCAGAAACCAACAACCCAACTGCCAAATAATCATAACTTTAATTAATATACTTTTCTCGTATATGTATGTATATATGTCGAAAACAAAAGGTAGGAAAAACTGAAAAAACTTAAGTCACCATAATCCTTCTACCAGAAATAAACAGTTAATCATTTGATACATTTCTCATTTTTCCCCTGCATATAAATTAAGAAATAGATAAAGATTTGACAAAAATGGGATTATATTATACATTCAGTTCCAGTTCATCTACATTCACATTCTCCCTGATACTTTTTTTTAAGAGACAGAGTCTTACTTTGTTGCCCTCAGTAGAGTGCCGTGGCATCACAGCTCACAGCAATCTCCAGCTCCTGGGCTTAGGCAATTCTCTTGCCTCAGCCTCCTGAGTAGTTAGGACTACAGGCGCCCGCCACAGCACCCGGCTATTTTTTTATTGCAGTTTGGCCAGGGCTGGGTTCTAATCCGCCAACCTCGGTATATGGGGCCAGTGCCCTACTCACTGAGCCACAGGAGCTGCCCTCTCCCTGATACTTTTTACATGTAACCTCTACTAAAAGATAAAGTGGAAGTAATTTAGGCCTTTTTTGTATAAAATAGTCTGCAAATAGGGCGGTGCCAGTGTATGAAGCTGGTGCCCTAACCACTGAGCACGGGCACTGCCGAGACTTAATGTCCTTAAGGTGGCAGTGCTCCCCAAACTGATCTACAGTGCCTACACGATCTTTAACAGAATCCCAGCTGATTCTGCAGAAACCGACAACCCAATTGCCAATATATCTTAAAAACAACAAAGTTAAAGAACTCACACTTCACAATTTCAAAAGATACTGCAAAATGGTAATAAGAAAGATAGTACTGGAGTTAGGGTAGACATATAAATCAACTGAGAATCAGATACAAACCTTCCTATTTACTGGCAACTTATTTCTGAAAAGGGTACTTACTAGAACACATCACTGAGGAAAGAAAAGTCTTTTCAACCAATGTAGCTATGACAAGTAGATATTCACATTCAGCAGAAGGAAGCTGGACTGCCACCTCACCCACATACAGAAATGGGGCCAAAGACCTAAATGTTTTTTTTTTGTTTGTTTTAGAGACAGAGTTTCACTTTCCTGCCCTTGGTAGAGTGCTCTGGCGTCACAGCTCACAGCAACCTCCAACTCCTGGGCTTAGGCAATTCTCTTGCCTCAGCCTCCCAAGTAGCTGGGACTACAGGCACCCACCACAATGCCCAGCTATTTTTTTGTTACAATTTGGCTGGGGCTGGGTTTGAACCTGCCACCCTCAGTATATGGGGCCGGTGCCCTACCCACTGAGCCACAGGTGCCGCCCCCAAAGACCTAAATGTAAGAGCTGTATGGCTCCTAGAAAAAACATACATAAATCTCTGTGAAATTAGACAAAAAAGCACAATCCACAAAGAAAAAATAGTTAAATTAGAAATCATTAATATTAAAAACTGTTATGTTTCAGGCTCGGCACCCATAACTCAGTGAGTAGGGTGTTGGCCATGTACCAGAGCTGGTAGGTTCGAGCCTGGCCCAGGCCTGCAAACTACAATGACAACTACAACTAAAAACTAGCCAGGAGTCATGTCGGGTGCCTGTGGTCCCAGCTACTTGGGAGGCTGAGGCAAGAGAATCGTTAAGCCCAAGAGTTTGAGGTTGCTGTGAGCTGTGACCCCAGAGCTCTCTACTGAGGGCAACACAGTGAGACTCTGTCTCAAAAACAAAGAAAGAAAGAAAGAAAGAAAGAAAGAAAGAAAGAAAGAAAGAAAGAAAGAAAATTAAAAACTGTTATGTTTCAAAGGACACTATGAAGAAAGAGAAAAGACAAAGAATGGAAGACATATTGCAAATCCTATTCTAGGAAGAGTCTAGTATCCATAATACATAAAGGACTCTTAGAACTCAGAAACAGAAAGATAGTCCAATTTACACATGTACAAAAGACTTGAAAAGACATTTCTCCAAAGAAGATCCACGAACGGCCAAGCAGCACAGGAAATGATGCTCAGCAAACCCAAACCACGAGATGAGCACTTCACACTATAGAAACAGCGACAGGAGCAGTACGCTCGAGTGAATATGGTTAACAATAATTTAAATTTAATAATAACTTTCAAGAAGTTAGAAAAGAAGATTTTAAATGTTCACAGTGCAAATAAAATTTTAAATGTTCAAAGTGACAGATATCCTAACTGCCCTCATTTGATCACTACATACCATATAGTACGTACTAAAATATCACTCAGTATCCCATTATTTACTACTCCTTTGTTTATTTAGAGACAGATTCTTGTTTTGTCACCAGAGCTACAGTGCAGTGACATCATCATAGCTCACTGCAACCTCAATCCTGGGCTGAAGTGATCCTCCTGCCTCAGCCTCCCAAATACCACGCACTCCACCAGGCCCAAGGTAACTTTCCTGTTTTTGTAGACACAGGCTCTTATTCTTGCTCAAGCTAGTCTTGAACTTCTGGCCTTCAGTGCACCTCCTGCCTCAGCCTCTCAGAGTGCTAAGATCACAGACATGAGGCACCACACCCAGATGTCAGGACACCATTAACATGTATAATTATTAGGTATCAACTAAAAAGGAAAAATAACTTTTTTAAAACTTGAAATTAGGCTCGGCGCCTGTGGCTCAAGTGGCTAAGGCGCCAGCCACATACACCTAAGGTGGCGGGTTTGAATCCAGCCCTGGCCTGCCAAAACAACAATGATGGTTGCAACCAAAAAATAACCAGGCGTTGTGGTGGGCGCCTGTGGTCCCAGCTACTTGGGAGGCTGAGGCAGGAGACTTGCTTGAGCCCAGGAGTTGGAGGTTGCTGTGAGCTGTGATGCCACAGCACTTCACCCAGGGGGATAGCTTGAGGCTCTGTCTAAAAAAAACCCCAAAACTTGAAATTACAAGAACTGGCAAGGATGTGGAAAAAGCAGAACCACTGTACAGCATACAGCACTGGTGGGAACATAAGATGGTCAGCCACCATGGACGATAGTTTGGCAGTACCTCAAAAATAAATGTATTGGTGGTGGCTGAGGTGGCATGAGGGGGATTTGTAGGTAGTGGAGGCAGGGCCCAGGAAATCATCGTCAAGACATTCTATTGGTGCCATCGACAGAATATCCAGCACTCCAGCTCCTCCTGTCACCTCTGCCGTCCCCTGGCCTGGGTTCCTGGAGTAATAACCCTGCCGTGCTCTTCCTGTTTCCACTCGTATCTCCCCACTGCCTGCTTTCCACGCAGCAGCCAGAGATCCTTTCACACTCCCAGGACAATGTCCTGAGAACTGCCACCAAATGTTAACGTAAAGGAACCTCGACGTGATCAAAGCACTTTGGTTGGATGAGTCGATCTTTCCTTCACTGTAACTGATCCCAGGAATCTTCTGTTAACAAACTAACAAGTAGAAAATGCAAGAAAATTAGCACATGATTACAGGCAAAGAACTGTTCCTACAGGTCTTAATAAGATTCAGCTTTCCATCCTGACACTGGTGAAAAGAAGATTTTGATAGGAAGAATGTCAGCTCAGGTTCCAATGAATATGACCACCACAGATTGTAAAGTGACATTTTCTATCTGGCAATGGTTTATTAGCCAGTCCCTCAACACTGTCATGGATTACAGCAACAGCTGTGGAGATGTTCCCCCCACTGCATATGTATGAACTGGGAACAGCTTACATTTCTGCAATAACTGGGGCTGTAGCAACAGCTCTAGAACTTAACCAAGCAGTCTCACCACTGATAGGGCATTCTGTTCCTAGGCAAAGAAATCTTGAAGACAACCCCAAAGGCAATCACAGCAAAATTAATGAAGGAGAACTAAAAAAACTAAAAAGCTTTTAAACAGCCAAGGAAACAAACAACAGTGAATAGACAACCTACAGAATGGGAGAACAGTACTTGCAAGTTATACATCTGATACAGGGCCAGTACAAGAGTCTACAAAGAGTTCAAAGAAATCAGAAAGAAAAGAAAAACAATTCCATTAAAAAGTGGGCAAAAGACATGAACAGAAGCTTTCCAAAAGAATATAGACTAATTAATAGCCAATAAACATACAAAAAAAAATGCTCTAATCACCAGAGAAATGCAAACTAAAACCACTTGGGTCCAGTGAGAATGGCTTTTACCCACAAAATCCCCAAATAACAGACACTG